CCCTAGCCTCAGGTAATAGTCTCTCACGATCTACATTTTTCTCCTAAGATTTTATGTGGCTGGTGATAGATGCAATTGTTTGCATGGTTTGGCTGAGCTGAGCTCCCAGGAGAATCTGTTGAACAGAGCAAGTTTCCAAGGGTTATTTGAACAAACAGATTCCCACCATGAGAATAGCATACAGGGCACCTAAAGCTTGACTGCTTTTCTCTCCATTATTGCTTCTGTTGGAAGTTGGGGCTTCAAACATACCTAAACATGACTCCTTCAAGGTACCTACGTAAGAAGGAAAAGCTCATTTTCTATTAGTCATTTTTTCACGTTACAACATCCAAAATAGAGATTTACTTATCACTGGTCCAACATCTCCCTTTTTAACTTTAGAAATAACAACTTTTATTGTCAGTGATCTTTTAAAAGTAATGCAAAAAGTTGCAGTCCAAAAAATGTGCAGGTGGAGGACCCAAGATAACGGAGGAGTAAGTGGAAGCTACACTAGCTTCCCTCCTAGGACCAATCTGGAATTACAACCAAATTGTAGAAAAATCATCCTGAATACACAGCTGAACACTAGCTGGAGAGAAGCCTTACAACCAAGGACAGACAGAAGAAACCACTTTATCACAATGAGACTGATAGGGAATGAGGAGGAGACCAGAGAGGGCTGGCTGGCCTCCCACAGGTAGGACAACTGAAGTCCTTGAGGGATATTTCAGCAGCAGTGGGGGTTACTCCTAGAAGCGTGGGGTCTAAACCCAAAGCTGGGCTCCCCAGCTTATAGCACCAGAGCCAGGAAAGGAATCCAGATAACATTAAACTGTGAAAAGCAGCAGGGTTTCTGTGTGCCAGGGACAGATGATTGGACATGCAGAGAGCCTCCTAAAGGGCCAACACATAAAATTTTTTTTGCAGCCACTTAGCCTGGGTTCCAGCAAAGGGAGGGCAGAGTGGAGTAGAGACACTTTTGGAGAGTCTGGGAGTAGACTCTGAGGGTAGAACTGAAGGAAGAGCCGCCAGGATCCCTGTGCTGAGTGATTCCCCAAACTGCAGAGGCCATCTTTCTCAGGCAGAGCACTGCCCTCCAAGGGGCATCAGCCTGAGGGGAAGCAATAGCTCCACCCACAGGAATTACTCTGCCCCACCCTGTGAGGCTTAATTCCAGCTGCTGAGTACAACTTGAGGCTGTATCAGTGATTTAACAACTAAGATGGATCTCTGGGTGCTCAAAGACATCAGCTGCCCTTCCCCTAAGCCTGGTGCAGATAAAGGTGGCCTGGGTGTGCAGCTTGGTTCTTTCTGCACATAAAGAAGCCCACCAGAGTGAGCCACATGCTATGGATCGATCACTGATAGCTCCAAACAGGTTGACCAGAGCCAGTCACAAGCAGCATCTGACAAAGGCTTACACCAGAGTCTTTGTAGATCTACCTAATACAAAAACAAATCCAAGGAAGAGGCCATAGAGGAAAGACAAAGAAACAGACCCCAACAGAAAGAACAAGAGAATTCTCCAGAAAAAGGACTAGATGAAATGGAGGCAAGCAATTTATCAGATAGTTTAGAGTAATGAGTATAAGGATACTGAACAACATGAAAAAAAGACATAGAAATCATAAAGAGGACCATTCAGAAATGAAGAGTGCAATATCTGAAATAAGTAATACACTGGAAGGAATAAACAGTAGGTTAGATGAAGCAGAACATCAAATCAGTGATTTGGAAGACAGGTAGAAAAAACACCCAGGCAGATCAGCAAAAAGAAAAAAGAATTTTAAAAAATGAGGCGAGCTTATGAAACATTGTAGACAACATAAAGCATAACAACATCGATATCATGGGACTAACAGAAGAAGAGAGCGAGCAAGGGATCTAGAACCTATCTGAAGAAATAATGATGGGAAAAGCCTAATCTGGTGAAGGAAAAAGACACACAAGTTCAGGAAGCTCAAAGAGTCCTAAACAAATTGGACCCAAAGAGACCTAACCAAGACACATTATAATTAAAATGGCGAGGCTTAAAAGCAAGGAGAATCCTAAAAGCCACAAGAGAAAAGCAGGTAGTTACATACAAGGGAGCACCATTTAGACTGTCATCTGGTTTTTTAACAGAAGCGTTTTAGGCCAGAAAGCAGTGGCATGAAACATTCAGAGTGATGAAATGCAAGAACCTACAACCAAGACTGCTTTGCCCAGCAAAGCTATCATTTCAAATCAGAGGGAAAATAAGGAGCTTCTCAGTAAAAACAACAACAACAACAACAACAACACTAAAAATTAAAGGAGTTTGTTAACATCAAACTATACTACAACAATTGTTAAAGGGCTTGCTTTAAGAAGCAAGAAAAAGAAAAAGAGGGGAAAAAACAGAAAAGATTCTAAAAATAAAATGGCACTAAATACATATCTATCAATACTCACCTTAAATGTAAATGGCTTAAATGCTCCAACCAAAAAACAGAAGGTAGCTCAAGGGTTAAGAAAACAAGACCCAAATATGTGCTGCCTCCAAGAGTCCCATCACAGAACAAAATATAAACACAGACTAAAAGTAAAGGAGTGGAAAAAGATTTCATGCAAATGGAAAGGACAAAAAGCAGGGGTAGCAGTACTTATATCTGGAAAACAGACTTTAAAACCAAGGCTATAGTAAGAGAAAAAGAAGGACACTACAAAATGATAAAGGGAATAAGGCAACAAGAGGATAGAACCCTAGTACACATTTACACACCCAATGGAGGAGCACCTAAATATGTGAAGCAAACTTGGTAGACATAAAGGGAAAGATCAAGAGAAATACACTCATAGTGAGGGATTTTAACATCCCATTGACTTCAGTGGGTCTTCCACACAGATAATCAACAAGGAGACTGTGGCTTTAAATGACACACTGCATCAAATGGATTTGAAATCTTCAGAGCTTTTCACCCCAAAGCAGAAGAATGTACATATTTTTCAAGTGCATGTGGAATATTTTCTAGGGTATACCACATTTTAGGACAGAAAGCAAGTCTCAATAAATTTAAGGTGGTTGATATCATACCAAGCACCTCCACTGACCATAATGCTATGAAACTAGAAGTCAATCACAAGAAGCACACTTAAAAACATACAAAGACATGGAAGCTAAATAACATGTTATTAAACACTGAATAGGACAACAAGATAAAGGAATTAATCGAAAGATACCTTACCCTGGCTGATGTGGTTCAGTGGATTGAGCACCAGCCTGCAAACCAAAGAGTCGCTGATTCGGTTCCCAGTGAGGGCACATACCTGAGTTGCAAGCCACATCCCCAGTATGGGGCACGCAAGAGGCAACCACACATTGATGTTTCTCTTCCTCTGTTTTTCCCTCCTTTCTCCTCTCTCTAAAAATTAATAAATAAAATATTTAAAGAAAAGATACCAGCCCTGGCTGGCGTAGCTCAGTGGATTGAGCACGGGCTGCGAACCAAAGTGTCACAGGTTCGATTCCCAGTCAGGGCACATGCCTAGGTTGCAGGCCATGACCCCCAGCAACCGCACATTGATGTTTCTCTCTCTCTCTCTCTCTCTCTCCCTTCCCTCTCTAAAATAAATAAATAAAATCTTTAAAAAAAGACTCATTTAAAAAAAAAGAAAAGATACCTTGATACAAATAAAAATGAGGACAGATCAATACAAAATCTGTGGGATACTGGGAAAGCAATCCTAAGAGGGAAATTCATAGCATTACACACCTATCTCATAAAACAAGAAGAAGCTTAAATAAACAATTTAACTTCACACTTAAAGAAACACACACGAAAACAACAAACAAAGCCCAAAGTTAGTAGAAGAAAGGCAATAATAAAAATCAGAGCAGAAATAAACAAAATAGAGTCTTTAAAGATACAAAATATCAACAAACCCAAGAGCTGGGTATTTGAAAAGATAAACAAGATTGACGACCTTTTTCCTCAAATTATTTTATTTTTTTATGTTGTTCAAGTACAGTTGTCTCCATTTTGCACCACTACTTTCTCCAGTCCCTCCCATCCCCACCTCCCATCCTCAATCCTACCCACTTTTGGCTTTGTCCATGGGTCCTTTATACTGTAACATACTACACATAAATCCTTAATTGTGACTACATTAAATGCTGATATAATTTGGGAAGCAATCATGAATTTAAAGTGCCGGTCTGGTATTAGACTTCCTATGTTCAAATCCAACCTCCATTATTTATCAGATGTGTGATGTTGAGTAAGTTCCTTAATGTCTGGACCTCATTTTCCTTATCTTAAAATGGGATCCTATCACTTCATAAAGTTATTGTATTTAATATAAACACAGTAATTAATAAATGGTAATAACTATTTGAGGCTTACTACACAATAGGCATTATGTCGAACACTTTACACTCATCTGTCAGACCAAGCTGAAGAAACTAAGACGTTAAGCACAGATATTTGAACATAGTAGACTACCAAATAGGTATATCGAATGAACAGGGCTTGAAGAAGCCCACAAGGTCCACAGCTGGCAGGCCAGTGGTAGAGCCGGGAGTGGAGCGCAATTATGTCTGACCACAAAGTCCATGTCTCTGACCTCTATGCCATATCTGACGATATACAGTGTGCTGAGTTCAGTGCTAGTATAGAAAGCCCTAGGTGCGTGGCATTTTGTTTATCACTGGCCTTTTGCGTTAGAGGGGACGAGGCAAATGGGCTTTGAAGGCTGGCTCGCTAGTTTCCAGTCTGGCCTTATGCCCAATGGTGAGGGCTACAGGATTTCTCTAGTCGAGACTTAGGGTTGAGACGGGAAATACACCGTTCTTCATTCCTCAGATCTCTTCCCCCGCGCAACAGAGGAGCGCGGTGAGTGGCGCCGTGTTTGGAGACAGCTGTCTCGGAGCATCCTCTTCACCACGAGACTCACGGGTAACACCGAAGCGAGGGAGGCCTTAGGGTGCAGGGGAGGGTGTTTCCAGCCGGACCGCGTCCCTGGGCGCTCCTGAGTGCTGCGCCTGCGCGCTCAGCCCGTCGCCGGCCTTGCCGACCTGCTCTTGCTGCTTTGAACTTGAGCATGTAGCCTTCGTTGACTGCTGGGCCCTGAGATGTGCGGCTGCCGGGTCAGTGCCAGCTGCAGGTGCGTGAGGAGCACGTCAGGAACCCAGGTGTGAGGTGGAGCGATCCCCGGGAAGGGTCGGACCTGTCTGGATCCCTCCAAGGTGCTCAGGGACCCAGAACGGGGACGCCACGACCTCAGCTCCTTTTCCTTTCCCACTTCCCCGCGCCTTGACTGCGTCTCACGGAGAGTGGGAATCGCTGAGAGGAAGGCCCAGAGAGACTGCTTTTCCTTTGTTGTGACGGGTCGTGTCACATAAGGCATATTTTTCCTGGCTGCGGCCAAAGCGATTTTCACCCTTGTTTGCCCTTCCTTTCCTGTTGTGGGATTTTGCAGCCTCGGGACTCTGTTACCCCCCTAGGTGCTTATTGGTTATGGACGATTAGGGCAAGGACTAGAGGTCAGGATCCTTTCTCCAGTGCATTCCCCCTGAGAGGAAGAGGTGAGGGTTCAAGGCCAAGAGAGTGGATGGGGGTGTGGGGATAGAGAAACTAGAATGAGGGAAACGCTGTAATAAATGTCGCCAGAGATTATTCCTCAACTGAAAATTGTCTTAAGTTTCTCTCAGGTCTTTCGTTTCTATTTCATTGCCTTTTGTGATATCCTTACATCGTTTTCATGTTGTTAGTTAAGGCTCAAAAACCAACAAGTTTTCAGCCTTGAAGCAACCTTGGAGGTTTTTGAGACCAGTTTTCACAGACTTTTAATGATTATATCTTGCTGTTGTCAGAATAGTTTTCAGATCGAACCATTGAGGTTTACTATTTTATTTTTATTTTCAGTTTAACATAGAAGAAATTACATGGTTTGGGTTTAAAAAAAAAGAATATATATTATTGACCAAAAGAATCAGTTGAGAGCCCAGAAAATCAGTTGAAGTGGGATTTGGACCACTATCAAATTAATACGCACCCTGTATACATGTGTAGAGGACTACACTTGGAGCATTGGGGATCCCTGAGCTGTCACTTATAAATAGGAGATGAGATCACTGCTTGCCACCAATAGCACTAACAATAAAGAGCTCCCAGTAAGTGTTTTCCCACGTGGTTTGGAGACTGGTGACAATAGTATCCATTCTTAGTCCTAGCGGTGGATTATCAACCATAGCCTCTTTGGCACAGGAGCTGTAGATACTCAATTCCTATTATAATCAGAGATGGTTGTTTGTGTTTGGTTCTAGTGTGGGATTTTTTTTTATGTGTTTCATAGACACTATTAAAGGGAAGGAGAAACATACAAAAGGAATTGAGTAGTTCAGTCCCAGGCCAAAATCCTTTGTGTGATCTTTCAGACCCAACCATAGATAATCGCAAGACTTTGCCTGGCTGTCTTGGGTAGGGAGCTGGGGAGCTCCCCTACTCCCAAAATACACCAGACTTTGTGCCCGGTCAGTGCATTGCAGTTTTCTGGAGGGAGTTGCAGTTAAGGGCTGATCCTTTCCTCCCATTAGCCATGCGCATGTACTGTACTACATTCCTGGCTTAGGTACCTCAATTATGAGGACCTTGGCTGAGGCATTTCCCAGATGCCTACACCAAGACGTGATTGGGAAGGGAATGCTGTGACTGATGCACTTTTCTCCATTTTGACCTAGGACCTTTCCACTCCTAGCCCTTCTTTCCTCCCTGGCCTGGACAACCTGTCCATAAAGAGGCAGAAGCCTTTTGTTTGCACCTCCTCGGCAGTAAGATGATTTGTGCACACTACGCCCACCTGACCCTCACCTAGTGTCATTCCGGTTAGCCTTTTTCCTGCATTGTCACAGTAAGTGAACAAAAGCTTGATTATTTTTTCAGTTTGGCTCAGTCTTAATTGACCACATCGACACCTGATTGCTTGACAGGAATTAAATAAAGTACCGAGTTCTTGGCAGTTCACTGGATTCATGACTTAATTTTAATCCTCATAACACAATTGTTAATGTGTTTAGGGATATGGAGGTTGTTCACCTGTGATTTCTCTAACTTGGTGTCATGAAAATGGATATTAACAACACCAACAGCTGATTGTTCCTGACATGGATATCTGGGTATTTTATAAATTAATATGATGGTTTGCACTCAGATTATTTTGCATAAATTTCTATGGTATATTTCATTTGCCCTCTAATTAGATTTTTGATAAATGGTTTGGGATTATATGGGCCAATTGGACAAAACCAGACACTTATTTTTCTTAGTAATCCTGTCTCATCCTTAGCCACTTTGAATGAAGTGATTGATTTGTTGTGGGTTCCTCTGTCTCATGTTGTGTGAAGAAGTATGTCAGGAATAGCCTTCACAAATGTTTTTACCTCTTCCTATGGCAGTTTCATAAAACAGTATTTGTCCTTGCTATATGTCATGCAATCTGATATTTTATTCTCTGTTTTATTAAACAAAAATGCTGATCATGATCCACTAAATTGATTTCATAATCCATTAATGGATAGTGGCATGCAGTTTGAAAAAAATTGATCAAGCAACTAGTAGAAGATATTTGCTCAACAAATAAATTGTGATTTTATTTTTGTCTCTGATTTAGATTGCTGAAGAGAATCACACAGTGGGTGTGTTTGTGATTTTGTGTTTAAGGTGTCTTTTAGGAGAGGACAGTAAATAGCAAGTAGCATATATATGTTGGAGGTGGGCTAAATCAATGGACAGAAGAACTCTGAGTTTCTGGTAAACTCACCAACTCTGATCTCAACTAGGAGATACAAAATTAGAATGAGAGAGTTAGAACAGTGGTTGTTGTTTTGTTTTCTTTTAAATCTCTGACTTCCTTATTCAAGGAGAATGCAGTAATAGAAGAAAGATAAGAAGAAAATTGGCTCATAAAAGAAGGGAAGATGGGTTGTAAGATGGTTGTGAAAGTACCTTTTTTATGTGTCCTACATAGGTATATTAGAGGGAAAAGTTTTATCTTTATATTAACTCTGCAAACAAAATGATCCTTTTATTATATTGCCTAAAAAGTGAACCACACACAACTTCCAAGTTAACCATAGACAGATATATGTAGCCTGTTTGTGGATATCATTGCTTGTCTTTTAGGAACTGAACAACAAAATAGAATGGAAAAATAAAAAGAACTATAGATTTAGTTAGTGTGTTTAACTCTTAGTCAGAAACCCTAGAAATAATATTAGGTAGAGAAGGATAAAGTTTTAAAATTGAATTAGTATTGAGCTAAATAATACCATAACATGTATATCGTTTCAGTTTTCCAATAGACTCAGAGGCATCAGGAGGCATTTTTCTCTATTTTACAGATGAGGAATATGTTTTTGCTTCTTCCCGCCACCAAGATTACATGGTGGGAAATCTAGGGCTAGAACGCAGATTTTCTGGGACATTTTCTCCCAGTTGTCCATGTTGTCTTTTGGTCCAAAGAAGTAATTGAGAATAAGTATTGCTATTGATGTGGCTAAGGAATCTAACTTTGATAAATAAAATATTCCATTCTCAAATCATGTTTAGAGTATGCTACAATTGAATGCAAATACATCATATTTTTAGTATTATATTTTAATTCTTACACTGTGTACCTTATAAGCCCAAAGTTTTAAAAAAATGAAAAGCAACTATATATTGATAAATCTACTTAATAGTGAACTAGGAAAATTGGAATTAAAAGATCTATTTAATGTTAAAAAATTCAGTTGAGTCTCATTTTAATATAGCATCTTAATTAGAAATAGAGCTTCAAATTATATAGGTATTTGAATATTTCCTATAAAGACATTATATATATGAAATTATTTTTATGATTCTAAATTATTCATCTAAAACAGATATTAACTTTTAAGCACAAGAAAAGTCCAGATCTCTTTCTTATCCTTAACATTTTAGCCAAAGGACCATTTATTTATTTTCATATGAATAAACAATTTTAAAATTAATTTTTATTTTTAATTTTTAGACATCTGTGGAGATTGAGAATACTATGGAGTTTATCAGAATATACAACTGAAGAATATGATGGCTGAAAACAATTTAAAAATGCTAAAGATTGAACAGTGTATAGTAGCCAACAGACTACCAAGAAACAGGCCATATATTTGCAACATTTGCTTCAAACACTTTGAAACACCATCAAAGTTAGCCAGGCATTACCTCATTCATACTGGTCAGAAGCCATTTGAATGTGATGTGTGTCATAAAACCTTTAGGCAACTAGTTCATCTGGAGAGACATCAACTAACTCATAATCTGCCTTTTAAATGCAGTATTTGTCAGCGCCACTTTAAAAACCTGAAGACATTTGTGAAGCACCAACATCTTCACAATGAAACCTACCAGAATGATGTTAAACAGGTCAGAAGATTGCTGGAGGCCAAGCAAGAAAAACCAGTGTATGGAATGTATCATACTTTTACCACAGAAGAGAGAAGGGCATTACAACCATGTACTATGTCTGATCCTACCTACAGCCCTACAAAGAAAAGAAAGAATATTCATGCATGTACAATCTGCAGCAAGATGTTTCCATCACAATCAAAACTTGATAGGCATGCACTTATTCACACTGGTCAGAGGCCTTTTAAATGTGTCCTGTGCAGTAAATCTTTCCGACAGTCAACTCACTTAAAAATCCACCAACTTACACATTCAGAAGAAAGACCTTTTCAATGTTGTTTCTGTCAAAAAGGATTTAAGATTCAAAGCAAACTTCTAAAGCATAAACAAATCCATACCAGGAATAAGACTTTTCAGACTCTTTCATTAAAGGTGAAGAGTCCAGAATCATGCCCCCTCCCTAATAAATTAAACTCAAAGCAGGATGGTTTTGAAAATGGTGATATAGGTGAATCCGAGGAGAATAATCAACTTGATGTCCACTCTATTTATATCGTTCCTTTTCAATGTCCAGAGTGTGAAGAGTGTTTTGAATCAGAGCAGATTCTCAATGGACACAAGTGTTTTCCTGCCAGAAGTGGCAAAATTCCAAGCAGTTTCAAAAGAAGCTTCAACTATAAAATGATTGTTAAAAAAATCTTGGCCAAGCTGAAACGTGTTGGGAGTAAGAAATTAGATAATTTTCCATCTGAGAAAAAAGTATTTAAAAACGGTGTCTTAAAAAACTGTGATTTTATTTCTGGTGAGCAGAACCCCGAACAAACCCAGAGAACATTTATGGGCTCTCTTGGCAAACATGGAACATACAAGAAAGTTGGCAATAAAAAGAAGAAAACATTGACTTTGCTGTCTTCTTGGCAAAAACACTTCCAGAGTCAAAATATGGGAAAAAACTTGAAGGGTATCCTTACAACAGAAAACATGTTAACAGTGGATAATTCAGTGAATAATAAAGAAATATCTCTCAATGGTTCATCAGGTGAGGAATTCTTTGATAACTGTGAAGTGCTTCAGTGTGGTTTTTCAGTTCCAAATGAAAACATGCCCGCTGGACATAAGATGTGTCCTTGTGACAAATGTGAGAAAGTATTTCCTTCTATATCCAAACTGCAAAGACACTATTTAATTCATACTGGACAGAGGCCTTTTGGCTGTAATGTTTGTGGGAAATCTTTTAGACAGTCAGCTCACTTAAAAAGACATAAATTAACTCATACTGAAAAGATTCCTTATAGAAGATCTCTTTGCCAAGTGGAGTTTGACAAGTTGAGCAAACTTTTCATTCATCCGGGTGATAATGTCAACTATAATGCTTCCCAACAATGCCAGACTCTGGGTTTTCAAAAATGTGAGGCCCCAGAGTCGGATCAAACATCAGAAATAAAAGCTCAGGCAGAATCAGAGGATTTCATTCTTGGTACCCACTATAGGAACAGGCAGCCCCATCTCTCTAGTGCACTTCTGGACTCAGAGCAGAGCCATCATAGCCACTGTTGTAGTTACCCAGGACATACTGAGAAGAATGATGGCCTTCTTTACCAGTGCAGTGTTTGTTCTAAAAGCTTTAGATCTCCATCTAAACTGGAAAGACACTATCTAATTCATGCAGGGCAGAAGCCATTTGAATGCTCAGTTTGTGGCAAAACATTCAGACAGGCTCCTCACTGGAAGAGACATCAACTTACTCACTTTAAGGAATAACCACAAGAAAAAGTAGTTGTCCTAAATTCGGTTATGTAACTGACAGACCCGCTAACAGGTTTTCGGTCTCTGCTGATCTTGTTTTTAAAGCCTGTATCATTTAAAATGTATTTCTATCAAAAGGCCTGCATTAGATTGAATGATTTTATAGGCTGTTGCTTGTCTTGCAACATAGGTAAGATACATAGAAAATTAATACAATGTTTTAGGAACAGCCACATTTTTAGAGGGAAGAACATGATTTGATGCCAGAAAGTAAGCATGAATTGTATTGTAATATATACTTTGGCTGTATTGGAAGTGTTAAAAATCCATGATGTGGTACAAACAATTCAGCATTGTTCATTTTTTAAAGGAATTATTCCTTGAGACATGCCATCTCCTATTAGATACAGTCAAAACTGAGGCAAAAATTGGTTTTTGGCTGCAGCAAGTAGCTCTACAAAATTTCATTTATTTTACAATTCACATAAAAGCACAATTTTGTTCACTGATAGCTCAAATTCCATTGCATAACTTTTTTCTTGTAAGTTTAAAAAATATAAAGGTAATAAAAGTGAAAATGGATGAGAATATCAGCATTATTTCCACTGGTCTTTTCCAAGCTATTTATTCTTAGGATTCTGTGGTAGCTGCACCTTCTTGTTCACAGGTGATTAGAATCAGTTTTTTGCCCAGCCTGCTGTTGTCTTTCCCAAAATACTTTAAAAGTAGGAGAGAGGCTGATGCACCTCCACACATTTACATGTTTACTTATCAGGAATATTGTCCAAGTGCCATAATCTTTTGATGATGTGTATGCATGTTACATTTTCAGAGGAATAAATGTAATTTGTCTATTTGCATACCAATGATTGACAGCAGTTGATTTTTAAATTCACTTTAGTAGAACTTTCTTTTAATGTCTATTAATTGAGTGGTCCTATGACTTAATATATTCTGTTAAGTTTGATCAAAATGCAATGACTAGGTCTAGTTATAGTTTTTATTCCTCTGTTTTTTGCAAGATTCTGATTCTAAAGAATGTTTTTTGATCCTTAGTAAGTTGTTATTTTAATTAGTAAGGTAATTATTCCTGTATAGGAATAAGATGCTAATAGAATTGAGGGTGTCATTTTTCTAAACAGTATTGTCATGATTTCTGAAATATTTCATCTTAAACTATAAAATATTTATCACAAAATGCCCTTCATATTTGCCATTTTTTATAAAAATCTTTAACATTTCCTAGCAATAAAAAAAAATACATGATCTTTCTAAGGTGAAAAGAATAGGTGGGAATTTATCCTGGCACACTTAAATACAGTGATAAGCCCTCTACTAAGAACAGATAAATGAACAATTTTAAGTTTTGCATCAAGCTATACGAACTATCTGTGTGTGGTGGTGGGGAGAGGGGGAAAAATTTTGAGAAACTTAGATTTAATTTACAGAGATAAAACAGTACAGCTAAAACACCCAATGATGTATAAATATGCAGGAGAATCATATTTCAAGGAAGTTCTTTTAGGTTTCCTTGAGATTCATAACTCCAGTGCAAGCAAAGTAGTTTATAGAATTTGCTTTAGGCAAAACTTTTCAAAAACACATCTGTTACAGTAAGGCAAGCAATAAAAAGTTCATATTATCTAAGAATAAAGGCTCAAGGGATTTTTTTCCCTTTTTATGTCTGAAATTATGTATTTTGGGATTTTCCTAAGCTGCTAATATAATTTTATTTGAAGTAAATATCTTATATATTTCTTTCCCACCTAAACAGGGAGAGTTCTTAACCATGTTGTGCTTGTAAGATAATTAGTTGTTTTTTTTTTTTTGCCCATGCCTTTTTAAGCTGTTTCATATTGAAAGTGGGACACTGTACAAATTTTGTCAAAGATGTACTGTAGTGCTATTTGAAGTACCTGTAACAAAATACTTACCTTTACTATCACTGCAAGCTTCTTGTGGAAACTATAGGAGTGAAAGTAAACTGTATACATCCATGATAAGATTAAATTTTAGATATTAAATGATGATTTGCAGCATGCCACAACTATTATGTTGAGTCAGTTGCATTAGTTTTCTGAAAAGAAAAAATAAACATTATAAATATCTTCAAAGAGAATTAGTAGAATTTTTTCTTTGGGTGATTCCAGGTTGTAGCATGATTATTTAATGAAGTAATTTGATTTGCTGAGTTAGTGGAATTAATGTTTCTTGTTTTGTGCTGTATTAGGTTCTACAATTTTCAGACAAAAATGTGTATGTATTGAAGAAAAGTAGATGGTGGTTAAGATTCTTGAAAAATTCAGATTTCACAATATTTTTAAAATAAACTTTCAGATTACACAGTTTGGACTTTTTCTTTTCTTTTCTTTTTTTTTTTTAAGGGAAAGTCACATCGTACTGGATCAAGGTACCGATTATGAAACACTTTCCGGAGCCCACTCCAACCCACCTTCTACACTGAACTTCCTAAGATGGATGTTTAGTCTTTTTTGTTTGTATTACTTTTTTTTAAGATTTTATTTATTTATTTTTAGAAAGGGGGGAAGGGAGGGAGAAAGCGAGGGGAAGGGAGGGAGAAAGCAAGGTGAAGGGAGGAAAATATCCATGTGTGAAAAAAACATGGATCACATCCCAACTGGGCGTACACCCCAACTGGGGACTGGTCCACAGCCCAGTCAGGTACCCTGGTCAGGACTTGAACCAGTGACCTTTGGCTTTGTGGGAGGACACCCAACTCACTGAGCCATGCTGGTCAGGGCTCATGTTACATTTCTTTGATAGCTTCTCCTCACCCACAAAGGATGTGTTAACTCCATTGCTTGCCGCATGATCTACCTGTCTGCCATTTATCCTCCTCTTTGGCCTTCCTCTCCAGAGCTGTATTAAAGAAGTGTAGAAGTAGTTCCTCCAGTGCACAGTAGTCTTGTCATTCTTCTACTTCCTATTAATTTAAATTTGATTTAGACTCACACTTTTCAAAGAAATTTAGTTGAGCCAGATTTTATTGTTTTCCTCCATGATTATGAGAATACTAAAGTGTTCAAAGCTGACTTGTAGGAAACAGATTTCTTTTCCTGTGTTATGTAAGATAACCAATTAGAATTACAGACTTTTTAGGAACACTTTCAAGTCTGGATATCTTACAAGAATTCTTTGTTAGAAATAACATTTGCAAGGGTCTGTTTTATGATGCAGAATACTTGCTTTTTAGAAGCTTCAGGGAAAGGGAACATTTAATTCCTATCCCGCTGAGATTTCTCTGATTGGCACTTTGAAGGGCTTAGAATTTCAGAGCTAACTGCAGGGATTCTATTAGTACTAGGAGAAAAAAGAAAAAAGTAGTACAGTGGTACAATTAAATGGAATATGGAACACCTAGTATTTTGTATCTACATTAGCAAATTTCCATGCACTCGGACATTTGAGCTCAAATGCCTTCCCCTGGAAGCCTATCTGATACACTCAGCACTCCATCCTGTGCACTCCCACTGCCTTTTGTTCATAACGCTATTGTCACTGCTGATCAGTGGTTTTCAAACTTTAGAGTGCTCTGGAATCATCTATAGGGTTAGTTAAAGACAGATCGCTTGCTGCATGCTCAGAGTTTTCGATTCCTTGTCAGACGGAGCTTGAGAATTTGTACAGGTTAGCTGTTGCTGCTGCATTGAGACTGCACTTTGAAAACCTCTGAGCTAAACTGTGCTCCTGGAATGCAAGGGGATGCATCTTTTAAGTTTTATATACACAGTTTAAAACCCTTTCTGTGCATCTTGTTTGTACATCTTGATATCCTCAAATATATACTGAATGTATGGATGAAGAAACGCATGGAGCTATTCTTACAAACTCTTAACATTCTCCATAAATCTATAACTTCATTTAGAGGTTTTCCTTCACTCTTGGAATGAGTTTGGTTTCTAACGTGTTGAGATCAAATCCAACCCAATACGTACTCTCATAACTTTCCCCTTCCTCACCCCATAATGTCTTTTTACCTTTACAGTTTCCTTTTCTCGCCATATATCCTGGAATAATAATTTTCCTTCACTTTCTGAAGCTAGGTTTTCCTTATTCTCTTTTGGTACAAGGAATATTTTCAATAGTCCCTTCGTTGCTTTTTTGTTTTGTCTTTTGTTTTTAGGGAGGTTTTTTGTATGCTTAGGTTTTCCCTCTCCATTGGTTCCTTCCCCTCTGCTTAGGAAAGAAACAATGTGTTCTATTCAGTTGTGATGATTTTGGCTGTAACTGACAGAAGGATTGACTCAAACTGCTCTAGCAGCAAACACCTTTATTGGCTTACAGAACTTGAATTCCAGCGCCTAGATAAGCTCTGGGTTGTGAAATAATACAGTTGAGTTGACTCTGGGTCCTTTCATCTGCTCTGCCTTTCATAATGACAAGGGTATTTCCCTTATGGTTTTTGTATGCTTTGTTCCCAAACAGGACCCTATACTTCCTCCATGAAGGTGGGAAGGTGGGACAGCTTGCAAAAGAGCTCCAGAAACACTCTCGAGAATAAAGAACAACTTGCCCAGAAGCCTAGAGTAAACATTACCTCTCAGCTGCCAGAACTGCTTCATGGGCACATTCCTGAACCAACAAGGATGAGGGAGATAGAATTACCTGGAGCTGGAGCTGGGGCTCAGCTCCCTTTCTTTGGGTACATGATTACCTGAAGATGATATGGACACCAGTCAAATCTGAGGTTGTTTGGAAAGAAGGGAAGATTTGATAGTCAATGATTTCCACTGCATCTAGCTTAAAAAGAGATAACAGGACAAACAACCTGTTATTCTGGTATTTGTTTTATTTTGTTCTCTGCCTTTTATAGACAAAGTTGTTGAAAATTCATTTTGCACCTACTTGCTCATTGCCTCTTCCCTCACTAACTTCTTAGCCCTTTCTCACCTAGAGATTTCGCCACCTCTTGGGAGCTGCACTGTGGATGATTATTGTAGTAGGCATTGTTAGTTGCAACCATGACATCTGTCCTTTGCTGTGGATCAGCCGAGTAGTCTGGTTAGGACGAACCTTAATTGCAGCTTCAGCAGTAGGTCAGCTTCAGCAGCAGTAGATTATCATCTAAGACGATCAAAATGTCCATATTCTCCTTTTCATCATGACCATTCAGAAATGGGTAACCGAAGTCTAAGCCAGTCAACACCCAGCGTTACCTCGGCTATAGTAGTTAGCTCAGGAGTGAGCACTGACCTAAGTTGAAAGGTCGTATGTAGCTTCACAGTGAAACCTCATGATTGAGGAAAGAGAAGTGAGTGCAGAAAAGCTTTCTCTAGTTTGACAGATGCTAGTCTGGTGAGGTGGTCAAACACACAGCAGGGTGAGGTAGGAGGGACAGGGACAGCAGAGCCAAAAGAATCATTGAGAAAAGGAGCTGGAAGCCAATCAAAATGCCTGAAGTCTAACCTTTCTCGACCAGGGGTGTCCAACGTTTTGCATCCCTGGATCACAATGGAAGAAGGGTTGTCTTGGGCCACACACTAAATACATTGCAACATATAAACCACAAAAAAATCTCATAATGTTTTAGTAAATTACGATTTTGTGTTGGGTCGCATTCACAGCCATCCTGGTCTGCATGCAGCCTGTGGGCCCCAGGTTACACCCCCCGCCAGTTCCTTTATTTTAAAGCCAAATTTGAATTACATTTTTTTCTTACAACAAGAAATCCCAACTAGTAATGGTTATCAATGGTCTCCTAATTGCCAAACCTATGGAGTTTTTGAAGTCATTGTCCTTTTAGCTTTCTTTGAAGCATTTCACACTACTGATAATTGTGGGTTTTGAAACTCTTGTTTTTTGATTACATGCTTCCTTTGCTTTCTCCCTTCCTTATTTACAAAACAGATTATAGAAGTCTTGTAAAAATAAAAGAAAAATAAAATACACATTGTATAGTATCCAAACCCATCAGTCAAAAACTTGGCTAGGAGAAATGATAGGAAAATAAAGGAGAGGAGGGTGGGGAACTATTGAGAAAGAAACAGATATTATGATACTGCATTTTGTCACAGGTATGATAAATTAGAACCTCTTAAATAGATCACCAGGAAGCTACATACGACCTGAAGCTTATTTGCTTAATATTCTCTTGGCCACAAAATTATAAGATAAATTATGAATAAATATTTAAATTGGCAAAAAAGAAAAAAGAAAGAAAGAAAGAAAACCCTGCTCATCACCACCTGGATCACTTCCTGCTACCTCAGGTCGTTCCTTTGTAGAGAATAGAATCACCTCTTTTTAAAACCTGCTCTACCCTCTGTCTCCTCTGCTGTGCTTTACGGTCCCACTATTCTTCCAATTACTTAGAACGAAATTCTCTTTATTTTATCTTTCCAGTGTTTTCCATGTTTATTCTTTCCTCTTCCTTTTTATTGCCAGAACCCAAATTTAGGCCTTCTGTGCTTTTGTCTTAGATTTGCAATAGCCTCCCAACTGGTATTCCCATCCCGGGTCACCTACTCTAACCCATCTAATATACTACTGAAAAGGCATCTTCCAAGAGTAGATCTCCGATTGATGGTTTCCCATTGCCTCCCATAGTAAACACAGTCTCCTTTCCCTAGCTTTCCAGGCCCTTGACGTGTTAAGCCTTACCAATGGTTCCTAACCTAACATGCCCAGAGCATGGCCTGCTTTCTTTATCTGTTCTGTGACTATTCTACAGATATTATCCCTGCTGTTTTTCCGTATCAAAATGTTGTCTACTTCCAAACTCATCACAAAAGCTATTCATAAAATCTTATTTTACCTCTCCCTTGTATTATAGATATATTTGTAAATAAAATGTCAATAGATTTTATTATATATTCAAAATCTGTTGCATGTAAAATAGTGATCATGCAAATTTTCATTTCTAGCTCTATCAGACTTTACATAATAGCATGTAGCAAGAAAAAGGACTCCACAATTAATTTCCATATCTACACATTTTTTCCTTTCACAGCTTCTTACTTTCAAACAGATTATAAATGTTACAAAACTCAAAAGTTAAAAATGCTGTAAATGTAAAATAAGTCTTTCCTCACTCCTGTCTTCCCCTTCTCCAGTCCCTCCACCCTAGAGGCAGTGTTACCAGTTTCTTGCCTGTATTTATCCAGGGAAACTTTACCAGAGATACATGTTTAATTTATGTGTGGACTTGAGAAGAGTACAGGTGTGTATTCAAACTCAATAATAAAAATCAAACAAACAAGCAATCCAGTGTAAAAATGGGCAAAAAATCTAAAGAAGGGTTTTCCCAAAGAGCAATATGGGTGGCAAATAAGCACATAAGTAGATTCTCAACATCATTAGTTACTAGGAAAATACAAATTAAAGC